ACCCTCCATTACCACCCTCCAAAACGCCTGAGTGATGTGTAGAGAAGGCTGGCCTTTACGAGAATAGTCATATTCACCATGACGCCCGAGTATTCGTTCCCCGAACCCTTTGGCTCTGTAACCACCACCATGTCCCAGCCCAAACCGCACCTGCATTTATGCTGGCTCCTGACTCTCCATGTTGTGAGGCCCTGGAGATCCTGACTCGAGCGTTGGAGTGGTTGAAAATGCTGCTCAGTATGTAATCACTATCACCCACTCGTTTGTATCGCTATTGCCCGACCACACTCACACTATTGGCCGCTCGTATGATATCTTGTGTTGCCTGCGCGTGAGTTATCGCCCATTGGTATCACTGCCGTTCCCGTTCCCGTCATCATTACTTTGATCGCCCGTTCACTCACAGCCATCGCACGGAAGCCGTCATCCATATGTGGTTGGGGGGGGAATAATGGGCATGGACGCGGTTGCAAGGAAGGCGGAGACTGGAAGTAGTGGGAGAGTCCTTTGTAGGAGAGCGGGACGCGCGGGGGCTAGGAAGACGGAAGGGTTCATGCGGAAGCATGACTTTCTTATGTTAGTGCTGGAGTCAGAATAAGAGAGCAGGAGACATGCGTGGAAAGGATGAGAATAGAAATGTGTGGTGATCGGTGGAAAGATAGAAGGATTGGAGGAAGTGTTCGTTTTTTCGGTTATATATACCTCCTGTCTTTTCTGTTAGTTTAGTTTTAAATGAAGTGCGGGATGGAGATCTTTCTTCCTCACCGAGAAGTCCTATTTTGCAATCATGTACTGGACTACTGTCCAAGCCTTTGCCTTATCCTATTGCTATAACCCCACTGTTTTTCAATAGGAATGGATCGCGGTAGCGTCATTGGATGAGGCAAAGGCGGACGTGTAGGCCATCAATACTGGCCGGGTCTGATGCCTTTTTAGGGATAGCAAATACGGGGGGGCGGTCCTGGTAGTTGTATTTGACATGGTAGGATCTAACGCGTAGGGTGTGTTTATCGTATTCAGAGGAGTGAGAATGGGGACTGGCCGGGGCATAATGAGGAGAAGAGAGGGAGGGAGCATGGATGGATGGTCTAAACCTGGAACCCTTCCGAATACTAAAGGGTCTACCACCATGCGCGTGGTCTAATATACTCACCCAGCAAATGCCATGATCTGCACCGCCACCCGGTCAAGGTTTAAAAACGAAAACCCTTTCATATGCGGGAGGGTTCCAGGTTTAGACCATCCATCCATCCTCCCTCCCTCTCGCCTCATCGCGCACCCGCCCATCCCCATTCTCACTCCTCCGAATACGATAAACACACCCTACACGTTAGATCCTACCATGTTAAATACAACTACCATGACCGACCCCTCCCATATTTACTATCCCTAGAAAGGCGTCAGATTTGGCCAGTATTAACGGCCTACACGTCCGCCCCCGCCTCTTCCAATGTGGCCACCGCGATCCATTCCTATTGAAAAATGGTGGGGTTATAGCAATAGGGTAAGGCAAAGACTTGGACAGTAGTACACGATCGCACAATAGGACTTCTCGGTGAGGAAGAAAGATCTCCATCCCACACTCCATTTAAAACTAAACTAACGGAAAAGACAGGATGTATATATAATTGAAAAAACGAACACATCCTCCAATGCTTCTACCCTTCCACCGATCACCACACATTTCTATTCTCATCCTTTCCACGCATGTCTCCTGCTCTCTTATTCTGACTCCAGCACTAACATAAGAAAGACATGCTTCTCAATGAACTCTTCCGCCTTCCTAGCCCCCGCGTGTCCCGCTCTCCTACAAAGGACTCTCCCACTACTTCCCAGCCTCCGCCTTCCTTCCAACCACGTTCATGCCCATGATCTTTCCTCCAGCCACGAACAGATGACGACTTCTGTGTGATGGCTGCGAGCGAACGGGCGACAAAAGTAATGATGACGGGGATGGGAACAGGAACGGCAGCGATATCAACGGGCTAGAGCGCAGGAGGGGGCGACAGCTCACGAGCAGGCGACAAAGGATATCGTACGAGCGGCCGATAGCGTGTGTGCGGATAGGCAATAGCGATACAAACGAGCGGGCGATAGCGATTGTATGCCGAGCAGCATTTTCAACAACTCCGACGCTCGGGTCACAGTCTCTGGGACCTCACGGCAGGGAGTGTCAGGAATCAGCACAAATGCAGGTGCGGTTTGGACTGTGGTGTGGTGGTGGTCGCAGAGCCAAAGGGTTCGGGGAACGAATACTCGGCCATCATGGTGAATACGGCTATTCTTGTAAAGGCCAGCTTTCTGCACACATCACGCAGGCGTTATGGAGCGTGGTGGTAATGGAGGGTGGTTATAACAAGCATGTCGGCGAAGGATCCAGCGAGTAGTGCGATAAAATACATCTCGGCAAATGGTGAGCTTTCCGTCCTCTGCTTGTGCCCATCCACCCATCACCCATCTACACTCCTGCACACTGTCATGAAAACTGACGATACCGTTTACCTGTGGTATTGTTAGTTTGCAGTTCTGGCGCTGGTATGCGTGACCCCAGTTTCAGAGGACAAAAATGTTTGCGCACCCGTTCTGGGTTATTGGGGTTAGTATTTGTTTCCTCGTTTCTTATGCCCAAGGGGAAATTCACTGGAAGTGGATTCTCTGGTTCACGGCCTTCTATCGCTGACTACACTAATGGCGGGATCTCTGGTGGGAAGGGGGAGAAGGACGAAAGGTGTGGGGTCAAGAGGGGGGGTGGGGGTGGATGTGCATTGAGCCGGTAGGAGCCCCGAAGCATGTAAGATGGACCAAGCAGCCGTCGGACCCGGTACGATTCTAGGGTATATACCCCCCCTCCCCCGTCACCCTGCACGCCATTCATTCCTCAGTTCCATTCTTTCCTCATGCCACTGGATGACCATAAATCTCTGGCAATGCGGACCTACATGCTCCTCACCGGAACGCAGTCGTAGGTGATACTATTGACCTTAAAGCTCAGCACCTGTTAACCTACAATGACTGCCCCATCTGATGGCAGATGACCAATTTGCTCCTCCGTTTATACGTCAGTGGGATGTCCAGTGACAGATGATGAGCGATACAAAACACAGCTGAGACTATCGAACTAAACCACACAGTGCGGGTACATGTTTCAGGACACTTCAACACTGCGAGTAGGGGACCAAAAGTGGAAAGCGCCCGCAGTGGATTTAGTAGCCGTCGGACTCGGTGTGATTCTGTGGTATACACACACACCCCTCTCACCTTACACGACATTCATCCCCTACACAGCATTCATCCCCCGGTTCCATTTTCTTCCTCATTAACCTGATATAGGCTTTTCTGGCTTAGAGCTGCGATTGCGGGCTATGCCGCTTGGTATTTCTGCCAACGCAGCGTCCCCATCCGAAGACCTAGCCTAGCAGGACATGACATTGAGGAAACCACCAAGGATGCCTTGAGTTCTAACGACGAATATGCCCTCATTAACAAAGACCTAGATGAGGACGATGGTGACAGCAGATTCTCCTCTCATCACGGACGTAGTGGAAGTGTGGCTAGTTACGATGCTCATCCCGGTAACCCTATTCCTTGGGGCGGCAAAGGAAGCGCGTATGATGGAATCGGAGGACACGGACCAGTGGCATGGATGAGAATAGAAGAACCATGCCCATCGCTCCGGTTGAGGATTACAATTACAGGGGGGGCGACTGTGAATTAGGATGTTTTCTGTGTTTTCCTTTTGTCTTCCGATATCTCTTTCCATTTTTTCCATTTCCTTTCCTAGCTAGGCCTTCCTTTTCACTCTAGTGCGGATGGGGTGGGCTTTCTCTTGTTGCGTTTTATATATCCTTTTGCGGTATAGAACAATGGAAAATGGCTTTTCAACTTGCATAATCTTGAGTACAAATGGGGGGATTTCTTGCATTGGGTTGGTGGCGGATCTAAACAAGGGATTTTATCAGATGAAGGAACTTGGGAGGAGCAGGAGGAGGCCATTGATATATAGCTATGATATTAGCTTCCTAATCGGGGCTCTGTGCGGCCATTCTATATCACTAGCTTTGTGCAGACGTGCCTTATCACGAATCACTGATGCCCACACCAGTGTCCGTGCCTGCCCCAACTACCGCAGTACTCAGACCAATGCAGATTTCGTTCCGGCGGATGCCGGTGGCTTAGTTGTCGCGATCGTCACCCCGCATCTCGCACTCCTCATAATAGCTGTACCTGCCCTCGTCCTCGTCGTCCGGATTGGAAGGTGGTTGTGGTCTGTTCTATAGCTTCATTTAGGCGTGGCGAGGCTCATAAGGAATGTGTGACCGACTTCCAACAAGTGAGCGCTTGGCACCATTACGGGATATAGTCAACACCGATACGGGATGTGACGAACTGGAGGAAAGGGCCCTGACCTACCCGGAATTCATATGACCGATGCCTCTGCTATATTCCGGTAGAGACGGAAGGCTCTGATCGCATGTCACCGTGCGAGCACTGCTATAGCCCAGGGTCCGCCACCACCGACACCGCCTAAGGCCTCGGGTAGCCCACCCTCCTATTACCCAGGACTAGATAATTGAACCCTGAATCCTCCAGACCGAGTGACCCCCCGTGATCCCACGGGGCTATTGAGGTATTGACCTCTAGTAACCCCTCTGCCTTTGGCCAAACTGCCCTAACAGCTGGGTGATGGGTAGCATCACCCCCCTCGGAGATCCAGCGAATGGCCGGGTCTAGCAGTCCCCCCTGGAGCCTAATACCGTAGCGTATGGACCAATTACTCCAATTATTCTAACAGGCTAGGTCCTACCCTGGCCGCAAGCTCTGTTAGTATCCTAGGTCCCCTGTCGGCAGCTTGGGGAGTATGCCGGGGGGGTCATGCCAGATTTAGGGGGAGGGGGCAGGAGGCCATTGGTGGCCTGCTTGGTGGTGCCGGAACGGGTTGTGCATCCTGTGACGATAGAACCGTAGCGGCTAGAAATAGGATATGGCGATCGCATAAGATCTTTAGGTAGGGAAGGAAGATATGTATTTCACACTTGGCTAACTAAGGGAAAGGACAGGAGCGCATATAAGAAATCAAATATCACTCCCGGCCCCTCCACCAGTAACTACACATATCCATCCTCCTCCGCACATGTCTCCTTCTCCCTTCCATATGCCCGAGCTAACAATGGAAAGACCCTCTGAAAAAAATCTCACTGCTTCCTCGCCTTCACGCATCAGCTACTTCCAGCTGGTTTCCTTCCAATAGCCTCCATGATTTCCAGCGAGGAACAACTCTTTCCCATGCTCGTATCTTCCACCGGACGCTCGTACTCTCCAACGACGAGGACCGTCTTCCGACGGTTACAGGTGATCACCTTCCAATGGCTATGGGTAAGGACGACAGAGCGACGGCGGAGAACGATAACAATAGCAATAGCAAGCATACCGAGCAGCTACGGCCTCCAACACATTAGCATGGGAATACGAAAGCGGAATGAGACACCTGATAGAGAATGGATATGTGTGGCGACAGTCGGAAGGATCGGTGGATGGCCCCGTTGCGCTTTACATCTCCGGATTTACCATTGGTCAGCTAGGTTGTGCGAAGGGAGAACCTTACTACCGGTACTCACCGAAGGCCATATTGTGCGACCGTTACTTTAGCCGTCGCTGCTCAGGACGATTGAAGCATCCGTTGGACGGATAGGAGGGTCGGAAGGAGGCCGGGAAAGCCGGAGGTGTGGTAGCCGTGAATAGTGGGAGGCATGTCTCCCGCTTGTTAGTATGGGAGTACGTATGGGAGAGGTAGACATTGTGCAAAGGGGGAACAAGTGAACCTCCCCACTTACCCCAAGGTCGTGCCTAGTTGACGCATTTAAATGTATCATATGGGTGGCGGTGCCGAACCAGGCGTAGTACCCTTTCAGATGGATTTCTGGGCACAGGAAATGGGGCAGCCATCGCAGAACCCTTCGGGCCTGCGATGCGCATCCTGTGACTGGAGTCGGGCAGGGTCGGGTCGGGCGCAGAGTTGCAACGAGGGCCTTCGGTAATCGCACCCGGGGGAGCTAGAATGGGGGGTTGAATCGAATCGGGGCTTTTTGAAGTTAGACTATAACTCAAACCGGAGCCCCATCGGGTAGGGAGATCGTGCGCAATGAGAAGCGACTCGGGGATGTTGCGGTACGGTACGGCAACCCTTACGAAAGGTCACGTGCTGCGTGGGGAGAAATTGGTATCATGTGATTACTAATATGACATATGTCTCGGCACAGCTCTTTCTCATTCTCTTTGTTTTGCCACTCATGCAAACGCCTTTCCTTCCTTCTCTCTCGAACATAGTCACCCCCCTCGACCCCTCGACCCCTCGACCCCCTCCCTCATTCTTCCTCTTCTCTCTATCCTTCTCTTCTCTGCTCAGTGCACGGTGTTGAACTACGTCTTTATCCATCTACAGCCTCATCTCTCCTCCCCGCCCCTACAACGCCCCTATCCATCGTCATCACTGTGTTTGCCAGCTTTTTCTCTTTGTATTTTCCCTCTCGTCAATCTTTTCACTCCTGCCACGGTGGAAAAATTCTTGAAATCTGCTTTCAGATTATCAGCGGAAATCAGCTGGTTTGCTCACGATAAGGTCTCGTTCGACAGTCAACAGAACTGAAAACACCAGCCAACGAGGCTCAACCTAGTTGGCCTGCCCTATACCGCGTCGTGAAAACGGCAATTCTTCTCAGGAGCGCTACAGGGGTGCCGGAGATAGTGGATCTCGAGGGCTCTCACGGTGCGCTAGATTACCATTATTGACGGTATGATTAAGTGGCTCGCTTACTTTATTGCCGTGCTAATGCTTTCGATAACTAGTCCGAGTAATCACCCACCACATCCCGCCCGCCCCTTGGCTGGTGGATTCGGAGCCATGGCCAACCAACTCGACCCGCACCACCTGGTGGCTCTGATGTGCTACGAATTCAGGAGTGGGCAAGATGGTTCTACTCGCCGCTTGGACCCTCCCTCTGGCCTCACATCCGGCATCGTCGATCACTATGGAACAAACGTTCGCACCCGCCCTGTCATGGATGCCCTTGCCCACATATCTGTTTCTCGGCCAAATTTTCAATTTGTCGCAATAGCTCTACAATTTAAACACCGTACCAAAGAAATTCGCTTGACGATCGCTGAGAACAAAGACGTTGGGGATAGCCTTGTTAACCATCTCTACAATATATGGGGAAAGTTGCAGGCTTTGTCAGACGAGTACGCGAGGCAGAGAGCGGAGGCACGGCATGGGAACCAGGGGACCGAGGAATTGGATGGGGACCCGATCCCGTCGCCACCGATCCCCTCGGGGGTGGGACAGCCTTTGAGGATAAAGATATTTCGCGAGGTATACCAGTACTGCCTGGAAAAGTACATGAAGCGGGTGAATAAGTGGTTGGGAGGTGTTTCTAATTTCATGGAAGAGTTGTACGAACGCCGTACGGGCGTCGGCCTAGGAAGCTTTGAGCAGGACCTGTCCAGAGCTGTGATTACGTTGGTGTCGGCACTAAAGCTAGTTTTCAAGCTCTCTGAAAGGAAACTCACAAATGATGAATGGGAAAACGTATATTGGAAGAACATGAGTGCTAATAAGAAGGCAAAACTTGTGCTTGCAGATAGCCGCGGGCTCGGCTGTGAGAGGTTGGCCCGGGAGTTAAAAGGTATGCTTCTTCTGTTTCCGATTTCATTCACTGTTCTAGCCTTTAACCTAACTTCCCTTCTGTACCAGGCGACGATCCCGGAGACCCCTTCCCGCTTCAACGCGCTCTTGAGAAACTGATTTCGTTACCTCGCCACATTCAATCTCTCTTTGGATTTGCCCATTCTCCCAGCCTCCGGCCCGCCTTGCAATACCGTATGACGATTTGTGCTCTCCTGGGCCAGGCTCAAAACGTAAAATTACCTGCATCGCAGAATGAGTGGAAGTCCTTTTTGAAGGTTGCAAGTGGTGAGGAATACCTGTGGCAGGAGGATGATGCAAGGAAGCTATTTAAAAAGTTTGGGTCGCGAGAACGGGAGTGCCCAGTCCATTGCGAATGTGGGCTTATTCAGTACCTCCAAACTAAACATTATGATTCATGGGACAATGTCCCTGCGTTTAGCTACATTGGAGTCTCCAAGTTAAGCTGCAGTGCCTGCCGCGTCTGGATAGAAGCCTTCAACGAGCTGGGGGGACCAAAGTTTTATACCCGAGGCTCGCATGGAAAATGGTATTTCCTTGGGGGATGCCCATGGCGGAGGGGCCCTTGAAGGAGAAGATGAGAGAAAAGGTTTTGAATGAATACATCACGCAGCTAGAGGATGAGGGGAAGATTAAGAAGAGAGCAGGCTCGGATAGCAGTGGCGCGATCTCATCTGGGGCAGAGGACAATATGGGCGATGATCGCTCACAAAGCACTGATGCTATGGTTGACGCAGATGTGCAAGAGTCCGGGGGAGACCCGCGGGGGTTTCTTAAGGTCAATGTCCCTGGTTTGGAATGGCGAAGCCCTATTGAGGGGGGAGACCGGCAACATGAGCCGGGGCCGAGTGATATTTGGGAAATTCTGGGATAGAATACATAAATAACATAGGAGGGGGGTGTTTGGTCTGTTTGCTGTGCTTCCCTGCTCGTTGATTCCCCTCCTATATTTCAGTGGTTTGGCGACAAGCTGACCCTTTTTTCTTTTTCTTTTTTACTTTCTCCCTTGGTCCAATGGGTGGAATTTGAGGACAACAACATCTAGAAACTGGCTACCGTATGCACTTGTCTGCGCATTCTACGAGTATCACCTGCTTTATTACCTCGTGATCTGATGGTGGGTTGAGCCGGCATTCCTTGGTAGTTGGCGTCTATTATGCTGGAGATGGGACTCTTTCGTTTTTGTTGCTTCATAGTAGTTTCGTTTTCTCTCGTTTCGTCCCTGTTGCCATCACACAAATGGGATGGTGTATTAAAAATATGCCCCTGTGATCGATAGGATGTGTGTATGTGGTCACGCCACCATTTGGGAGGTTTTGCACTTGAACTGTCCTTACTACAATAGCAACGGCACCAACCCTTCCATCTGGGATAGCCCCCAGTGGCTCAAACCAGCACTGCCTAAAAATACAAGACTGCAACCATATTCAAACATTTTAGTATAAGCTACACCCAAAGGGAGGGTCGGCTGCCTGCGCCTCACACGGGTCTTTATCTTTACTCCCTTAGGCCAAACCGCACGATCCTCTTGGCGCTTCTTAACGTACTGGTCCCACCGTTCGTGGATCCACTGCTCCGTCTGACTGTTACCGACCAGTCTGGCACCTTCGATTGCACTGGACAGCTCTGGTACTATTACTACATCATTCACTGTGTGTTGCGCTGGCATTACGCAATTGCGCTGCGATGTCTCCGAACCGAGCAATGATAGTGATGCCTCCGGTGATATAAACCTGCGGACAGACTAGTAGGAGCCCTAGCGTTTCTATGGAACCCACCCGAATCGTTAGCAGCAATGGCATTTCGCCTACCCGATTCCGACAGCCAATATGACTAGGACCATTCAGTAGAACGGTTGGGAACACTGAAATTTCCTGGGTTGGCTCTTGGTACGAGACATTCCCGTTTGCTCCGCAGGTGGGACTTAAATCAATATCCGCTTTCTATGCGGACAGGTGGTAGGTGTTGTACCAGCATTTGAGTGTTCTCTTGGCCCAGGAAATAGGTGATCATCAAGTTAACCCTGGGAAAAGCTAGAAGCGTCACAGGCGCTCACTTGGAGCTAACGGCCAGTGGGCTCAGCAACCCACACCAGTGTACCCTCCCCGAGCTTTATAAGGTTCGTCCCGACTCCGCACACCCACAGAGTCCCATTACACCGTTCCGCATTCAGTCACCCGTTCGCACAAAACATATCTTGCGGCGAGAAAGGGAGATGAAAGGAAGGAGACGAAAGAATTTCATTCATGGCACAGATGTTCCCTTCACCCCACACTTTACTTAGGCAACCACTCTCACGATAGCGCACGTCAGTCAGGCAGGCAGGTGGACGGGTGGGAAAGGCCGCGATCATGGCATATCACTCGGTATCACAACTATCACCTACCCATTGTCGAAGACGTGTTGCGACATGAATACATCGGGTAGAAATAGTACTTCCGTGTTGCTCGGATGGTGGGCCAGAATGCACAGTATATAGCCTGCCATGAAATATGTAAATTCCTGTGAAAGAACAAAGTAAACAAGAAATACAATACAATGAGATATAGTGCCGGACAATCGAAACCAGCCCACCATCCAATTTTCCTAGATATTCTACCCAAACTGACTGATCAACAATCAAGAAGACCTTTAAAAAATAATTCATCTGGTGGTTTGGTAAGTAACCCCATTTCATTATTTTACTTTACTGGTGTACTTGAAATAGGTATTTGTAATGATCTTAGATGAAAGCAAAAAACCATAGACTAGTACTGGTTTTGCGATTATTTAAATATCTCTACTAGAGGAAGCCCTGCCATACCCTCTCAGGAGGATCTTAGAACTTTGGATCCACCTGGCCACGAGGGCTGGCTTTGATTGACCGGCACCATACAACAACCTCCCTGATTAGCCCTCCCCCTCTCAAGCCCTTTCTCCACTCCTTCAATGTGTCCTTCCATTTGCAGTTACTCCCACGCCATAGTTAGGATCTAACGTGTAGGGTGTGTTTATCGTATTCGGAGGAGTGAGAATGGGGATGGGCGGGTGCATGATGAGGTGAGAGGGAGGGAGGATGGATGGATGGTCACTAATATTTAAACTAATAACTATGAACCTACAAATGGTCTAAACCTGAAACCCTTCCGGATACTGTACGGTCTTGGCATTTGTCGGGTGAATAGTGGTTAATACACTCACCCAGTTGTTTTTTTCATCCACTTTAGGTTAGCGCCCAGTGTATGTCAGCGCCAACCATGATTACTGAAAATACTGGTCCCGATCTCAACCAAGCGGCCCGTCATCCACCCTCGGTTAGTGTTCAGATTAGGTAAGTGCTACTGCGATTTATCACAACATACTCGCCCAGTAGCCTAGATTCTGCCCTGCATTTGTTTAAAGTCATGGCCTTATGGATTCATTGATAAAACAAAAGGGGAATACCGAAGGGCAAACGTCAATTAGGTGTGATTCGGGGATCACGTTGTGCAGTGGTTCAGGGTTTGAGTCATACATTTGGGAACCTGTTCCTCCATTCTCCTGGCTAGGATCTTCATCTGGGTTTCAAATGTGCATTGAGAGCCGGGGTAAGTGGTGTGGAGAGCTACAATAAGACCTTCACTTTGTACTCTTGAAATTATGGCAAATGGGCTCCACAAGCGTATTGGCTGTGGGCTGATGTATCACAGGCCCTGGGGGTGGATTTGGATTAGGCCAGTCAGTCGGGTAACAGTAACTTAGTGATGGACACGATCATGCTCGAGCAGATCATGGGGGGTATGCTCGAGTATCGAGTACTCGAGCAAAGTGCCTGCTCTAGCATGATCGAGTATCAAAAGCAAAACATTACAAGCAGTCAGATGGATTATGTAACTTATAGTCGGAGTTGTAGTAAAATTATAGGTATCATGTGATTGCCAAGATATATATAGATTGATCGAGCATGCTCGAGCAGATCATTTGCGTGTTGCTCGAGCATGATCTGATCGAGGGACGCCTATGATTGTGTCCAGCACTAGTCGGGTTGAAATTGGGAGCGATCATGGGGTATCACTCGGCACCAGAAGAACAAAATTCAGTGCGACTACACGATGCACAATAATATCACCGGGTGTGGATAGTACTTCAGTTGTCACTCTGCTTTGTATATTGCGCAATCACAACCTGGGTCAAAACCAGAACCTATGGTATAGCCCACTATGACAATCTTAATCGTCCAGAACGAAAATACAAAGTAGAAAGTACAACCACCCCGCCGTAGCTAACCCTTCCACCTCATGTGTAATCCTGCCCACCCAGATTGTGCTTTTTGTAGAGGTTCCCCGCCTCTGCCTATATCCAGCCCCCCCGTGAAGGGGTTAGTTATATATACACCTATTCAACGGAAACATTTCTCGATAGTTTCCCAATCTTTCTGGTCCCACTCATACCCCCGATTAGCAAGTGAGATGGTGAGAGCGTTTCGTCATCGGAGCCTTGCCATTCTGGAAAATGTTCCTCTCCTTCCTGTTCTGCAG